TATTTGAATAAATAAAAATTAATAGTTTGTTTCATCGTGTTTGACTCCTCACATAGCGGACTTCATATTTAATGTATATATATATATTAGTTTCACTTATGATGTAATCCTAAGCGGGAATAATTTTTTTTAATAGACATAAAATAAAATGTCCAAACACTCCATAAATATCGTATGTATCACATTAACTAAATGTAATGCAGTACAGCGTGAGTTTATGGTTTATGTATACATATTCTTGTTTATCTTAAAAATACGGACCTGAAAACTATTAATTTCTTGTGTTACCTAGAGCATTCAAACCCCTTATATTCATCTTATGTATCATATTAATATCCATTCGCGTTTAGCGTTCTTTATGTGTAAAATGCTAAAACTGTGGGTATTTTTACATGAGTCATATAAAATAAATCGGACAATACGTCTGCATTAATTTCTAATATTACCAACGAATCTATGATTTCATTCTTACGTTTGTTTTTACCCAAAAGTTTTGCTCCAACTGAATGTAGTGACACTAATATTATGGTTTTTCTAAAGGTCAACCGAAAGTCGTCTTACGATTTAAAGTTCATAAGATATTCCACGATCTCCGGACAAGTTGCTGTATGTTTGTGATAATATAGTAACAAATATTTCCATCTTTTGCTTTTCAAGTTAATATGTCATACTGTGTTGCAGCTTAAAGAGTGTATAATTCTTCTCGTGATTCAATGCACGCGTATGTTTTACTGACGTCAGAATAGTACAAATTGCAACGTTAAGCGTTCCTTAAGTGACGTCATTTTAGTGTCTACTGATTGACTGACAGACAACACAGTACTGTACAGCGATGCGAGTGGTTAAAACAGGTGATCCCTCCAGACTCGCGTATATACGGAAAATATGCATTACGTCCGCCTTCAACTGATAATGATATATATAACCATTTATTTTCATTATTCCGTCTGCCTTTACTCCTACGTTATTAAACTCTATATGAACATATTGCGCCAAGTAAAAGTGTTAACAGTGATATTATGCTTTGGAATACGTTTTTCTACGCGAAGGACTTACCGTAGGTGAAATTCATTTACGTATGGAAGCTGTTATATAAACTTAGTGAAAAAAATCGTAACACTTACTATTTTATGTTTTGTCATAGTTTCGGACATTACAATTTACATGGTTTATTGTATATGTTGCGAGTTATGTGGACGTGTAATTTCCTTACTCAACTGTCTTCAGATGACTTGCATATATCACAGTGTGGAATCCGTAGTTCATTCCAAAAATAGTCACTCCATGTGAATCTATTGTCCATTCTACGCTAATGTTTGTCTGCATAACAATAATCCCTAAAGACTTGTACAACAGAAAATGTTGGTTCAGTATGTAAGTAAGATCATATAATCTGAACTTAATTTATTAATTACTAGCCGGAGTACTCGTCCCCTGGACGGAAGTTGTGTAAGTTCATGATTAATGAGAGGTTATCTTAGGACATGAAAAGTTGCTTCCCTTACTTGTGATTGTAAAAAACGCCCATAAGAACTGCAAAACACAAAATGTGAACCACAAGTTTGCATGTATCTCCACATGGACCCAACAAAATTTCTTGCCAAATTTTGTGAAGATCCATCAACAGGGGGTGAAGTATTGGTAAAAAACGCAAAAACGCCCATAAAAACTGCAAAACGTAAAATGCAAAACTGAAAATTTGTATGTATCCCTGCATTGACCAAATGATCCTCCAAACCAACTTGGGTGAAGATCCATCGACATCCTGCGAAGTAGTTATATGTACATACAACAAACAGTACTATTATATTTATATAGATAAGTATCAATTTAGTGCACATTTATTGATATTCTGTATCATTTTGAACGTACGATGTTTATCATTATAAAACCTACAGTAGAACTTGGATCTTCTTGATTGGAACGCTTGTGTTTTATCTCTTTTACTTTATGTTACAAAAAGATACATGTGCACTCATGGCATTCTCTCTCTCAAGATTTGACGGTTCTGAAAATGATCTTTAATAATAAATTAACGTCATTATCTTGGGAGGACGAGTATCCGTCATCTTTCCCATCTTCAGAACGAATCCTGATCTAAAAACCATGACAATAGACTTTCAGAACTCTGGTTGCCCAGTGTAATAATAACTGCTGTACTTATATTGATATGTTCCATCATATGATTGCCCAAATACAAATCATATGGTACAATTGCTATAGTGATTGAATCTTAGATGTCTCTACAGTTTAGAAATCTAAACGATTACAAGAACAATTGAAAAGTAGTAGTATTTATTTCACAATCTAAACAAAGGAAATCTTACACGTTCAATGTGATTGGATAGACGAATAACGATTAATGTGCACCTGACCTTCACGCGAGTAGCGAGTTGTTATCACTAATGGTTGAACACATAAAGGCACTGATACTAACTCGTCGCGAGGATCTTACGTCATACTCCACACTTTGGAGTTCACGAGGTATACCAGGTATACTCGATAAGCTGCTTCAATTTTTTTGTATATTATTTGTCGCAGACATTTAGTATGAAAATATTTTTAAAGTTTGTTTTACACATACTGCAGTTGTAGCTTAGTTTTGGATTTTATATATTTTGTTTTTCTAGTGACTTTCATTCTAACTTATCGGGGTTGTTTTTAGTTTACTTATTAATTTGTGTTTAACTCGAAAGAAGGGGGAGTGGCGATAGTTTCAATAAAGGTTTTTAACGTTTCCAAACACACCCACGTGTCCTTAGTAATGTTTTTCTCTGCCTTATATTGTAGTGTATGGTTCTGTTTTTCATCAAATATCTGAGACTTGTGTATTGGTTTCGCGTCTCTTTCCTTGTGTGGCGCACTTGGTTGTGGGTCGGACTGAAACAGACTTCAGTACCTGATTACTTAGAGCTTCCTGTTGGCGGACTTGTTTTGAGATACATCCGCGAGCCAGAAAATAGCACAGAATCATATCTTTGGGAAACGCGGTGTTATTCTACAGAAAGACTGTAATATAATTAATTGAACTCATACATTATCTAATATTGTACATGTCAAGTATTGATACTTTATATAAAACGTTATTTTGTTTGGTTTGGTTGTTATTAAGCACAAAGCCACACAATGGACTATCTATGTTATTTCCACCAAGAGTATCTAAACCCAAGTTTTAATGTCGTAAGCCTGTAGACACTAGGGGAGGCAGATATTCTGTAATCAACATTTCAAGATGGCTCTAGTTAATTTTGACTGAAATAATTAAAAATTCCCAAGTACTCTCTTTATCTTAAAACTAGGGAATTTGTTCTTGTTTTTTCCAGATATTTCATATGTTAATCTTCATTATATGGTCTACAGCGATACTAAACATGTTAACGAACAGGGAATCCTCAATAGCCGCGATAGGCAGGAGTAGAGTAAATTAATCTATGATACCTTTGTTTCCCTTTTTATTAGTTATACTAGCAGAGACCCACAAAACATCTGCGGTCAGTTTAGTATCTTTATTGCAAGAGTATTTCTTTTAATACAGGATTTGTAGAATAATAATAATATTAATAATAAAATAATTCTAATCGCAGACACTGAAATCTATAAGTCCACTTGTCTTAGTCCTAACATTTAGTTAAGCCTTTATTAAGTACGGCCTGTATTCGATACAGAGATAAATTAACACTGTAACTTGTGAACGTTTTTTACTTTAGTTCAGTTAGGGCTAAACATTACGGCACTTAATACTATCTATACATAATCTTTTAATATTATTATACGACCTACCGTTAGACCTTTTTAAAAAAACTTTGATTAGCTTTTAGTATGTTGTATAAAATGTCTACTAACGCATATATACGTCCATTTTGACGTAACTCGACGATTTAACAGAGATACGTTTTCAAATTGCGAAAAAGGTGCAATTTTTTGTACATTTTAGTCCAAATATATATTTAATTTTCGATCAACCGTAGATTACTCGCTTCTAATTGACAGGAAGCCAAACTACTTAATTACGTTATAAGTTGCTATGACATCAGTGTGTGACAGAGAGACAGACAGTTTCTCCTTCAGTTTGTTTTGAATTTCGCGTAAAGCTACACGAGGACTATCAGCGCTAGCCGTCTCTAATTTAGACTAGAGGGAAGGCAGCTAGTCATCACCACCCACTGCCAACTCTTGGACTACTCTTTTACTAACGAATAGTGGGATTGACCGTTACTTTATAACGCCCCCACGGCATGTTTGGTGGGAAGGGGATTCGAACCCGCGACCCTCAGATTGCGAGTCAAGCGCCCTAACCACCTGGTCATGCCGGGTCGAGACAGACAGACAGATATACACTGTATTTTATAGTATTAGATTTTTTGTGCGCCAGCAATACGAAGTGTGTTGCACGCGTATACCCGATTCGATTTCATTACTGATCAGGATTTTTACCAGCTTACCCTCAAATTGAAATTCTTGTAGGCAAGATTGTAATAAATTAATCTATGAGACCTTGGGCATGGTTAAATACATGAGTCCAAAACTGTAATTAGAGATAAAAGTTTGTACTTAAAAAAAATATATATACAACTCAGAGCCATTCTATGAGCCACTCAGTCCATATTCAGTCAAATAATACAATATATAACGTTTTCAAAAACTTTTTTTTTTGTCAAGCTTAATCTTTTACTGTGCAAATTTTACAGTAAAGATAAACATATAGGAACAGAATATATGTCCCCCTCAGGGCTTGTAATGCTAAATTTTGGGTTTTGATACCCGTGGTGGATACAGCGCAACTAACACTGTGTAGCTTTGTGCTTAAAAACAAACCGAATTCATAATTTTCAACTGTAGCAGGAAAATAAATATTTGAAAGAAAAATTATAGCAGGATTATTATTATTGATTTTAAAAGGATATTAATTATTTCTTAACGAATTTACTCGTTTACTGATTTGAGTCCATTCAAAAATAATTTGTTAAACGTTCTCATTTTTATTTAATAATTCAATAATGTACATCATAGGTTGAATCAGAATCTTCAGTAACAGTTTCAAACATAAACTTTTATATAATCTATTTTAATCGTCAATTTGTCAAGTTTAATGTTTATTTTCACAAGTTCTCACAAGGAAAAGTATTCAAAATAATAGAATATAAAAAGACAATCTTTCGAAGAATTTCTACAGACTTAATCGTTAGCTTAATTTGTGTTAGAATTAAACAACAATGAACAAAGAACAAATGTGATCGTTTACTTTCCAGAAGTTAATGCTACACACATTTAACCCTGTATTACACACTGTAACGTAGAGGTAACGATTCTATCTTTGTTATGTAACACACATACAAATGTTTCACTTCTGTAGTTAAATGCTCTTACTTCCGGGCAACAGTCTAAATAAATCATGGTATTATTTTTGTTAGCACTTCAATTGAATAATGACACTTTTAGATAACATACTCATTTATATTTTACCGAAATATATTTTACAAAAATAGATTATCTGCAATATAGCCCTATTTAAGTAAAAAATACAAAGAAAAGATTTTTCCCAACATATTTTTTATAACGTTTACAATAAAGAGTTACAATAGATATTAACATGATTTATTTATAACGCGTGTAATAGTAGGTTACAATAGATATTAACATGATTTTTTATAACGCGTGAAATAGTAGGTTACAATAGAGATTAACATGATTTATTTATAACGCGTGTAATGGTAGATTACAATAGATTAACATGATTTTTTTCGTGACATTACACTGATCTTGGCGATATGAAACAAATGCCAGTTAATACATACATATTTAGACGTTAAATGATAGATGATGGGTGAGACATTGCTATTATCTCTCCTTGTCTCAGCTCAAGATGCATTTTTGATTTCAGATTTTTAAAATATACTCTTCCCCTCACACATGTTCTTGGTGCATATGAGGGGTAACTGAGTAAGTTTTAACAAAAAGTCTATTACACCTGAACATCCATCACAGCAGGCTCCCAGAGGACACAGTAAAACGTACCACTCTGCGAAGAAGAAGGCAACAGGGTACCCGATGAAGATGAGGACAAAGAACCAAAAGATGCTCCAGATGCACTTACACATTGTTGGTTTCTATTCTTCAACAAACGACTTCTTGGGTCTATAAACACAACAACAACATCAACATAAGAGTTAAGTCACAGAATATCTACATTCAGAGAATTAGTAAAGTACTAGACCACCGTGACCCGTTGAAGAATTCAAGCTAATTTCAATATTGCACCGAAATGAAGGTTTATTTTGAGATAATTTAATTAAATATTTCTGTCCATTCGTGTTATTTGTAATTCAAGAAAATATATTTGATTGTTGATCGGGAGTAAAAGGAAAGACCATTTCATTTTTCAAAAAAAGTGAAGTAAGATGTTTCGTAAAGAGCGCGAACGGTAGTGTGAATGATTTTTTGATTGAGAAAATAAGCAAACAAACAATCTCAGAGTTTTAGTAGTATATAGATAGATTCTTCAAGATTTTGTTTTCGTCATATTACGCCTTTTAATGAAGATGGGAACATTGACAGGGAAATCATGTAATAGCCAATGCTCGGCGAGAGGTTTTCGTTTATAAAAGTTTGTTGTTTTCGACTTGATTTTTATTTCATTACCTCCTCTCCATAGTTACTATTTGCAAATAGTCAAGGTTTATTTTATTGTTGTTCTTTCTACGCGCTGTTATAACACATTTTCATCTCATCATTTAATTTCCGTTGTGCATATATTATTATATAGAAGATATTTTAAAGTGATTCATCAGGTGGAAAACGAGTAGATAGATAGATAAACCTATATGCGGCGCCATCTAGTGTACCTAAATACATCTAGAAAAACGGGGCTAACTCGGTAACTCGTGGCCCGATTTTAACGAAACTTGTTTTATTCTGTTTCTATTCTCATTTTATTACAAATATGGCGTTATTGTGCGCCGTGTTTAATGTATTTAATTACAGACAAGCACACAAACAATCTTAGAGTTTTAGTAGTATTATTGTGAGCTATATTTTTATTGTTGTGATTTGTTTATTAGCCAGAGGGAGCTGCAGATTTTAATAATGACGTTAAGATCGAGAGGTTTAATGATATTAAGCCTAGAAATGTTAAGTTGATGTCAGATCCTTGAGTACATTCGAAGCTAAATTACAACTATGAGATAGTTGTGAAGTATATAGTTTTCAAAATAGAGAGTTGAATCATAGTGAGTTACTTTGTATAAATATGTTGATTAGTTTCACGCTAGTTCAAGTCATTTGTAACGTAGGCCTACAGCAATTTACGACAATGTACAAATGTTCAATCTTATAGAAACGTTAAAGGAGAAAATAAACTAATTACTTATAGTTTATGTGGACAGGACTTTGAATTATATTTCACCAGATGATTTAAAAGAACCCACCAACCAAAGCACAAAGTTACAACAGTATTATACCCAGACAAAGTAAGATATTGACCTTTCTCACGCACAGACAAGTTGGTATATACTTCTTTATTCTCTCCAACTTGTTTGTATATGGAGCATTTCCATAAGGATATATGTTGTGCTAACGTTTAAATTTAACATGATTTTTTTTAAACATCTTGATTTTTCTGTTAGTGTTAGGACACTGTTTTGATATTTATTCTAGAACCAAAATAATTAGTTGCACATTTCTCCCAAACTGTTGGATAATTAGAATTCCATGCCACATATGAAAACTAAAAAACAGTTGTAGAAACATGACAGGGTATGCACCCTAAATTATGCCTTGTATAAAGACGTCTGTTGTTGTTTTACCGCAATCCTACGCAATGAGCTATCTCCACTCTGTCCACCACGGGGAATCGAACTCCATATTCTAGCATTGCAAGTCTGTAACCTTACCGTTGGCCTATCGTGGGACAATAAAAATTTAAGTTAGGAACGTATCTGGGGGCTTTGGGGGGCTGGTTGCTCAGAACTTATCCGTGTTTTTTATATCAAAAATAGTAGTCACAAGTTTTAGCTTTTCGTGATAGAAATTCCATTAAAGTGCAGTTTTAAAGTTAATCTTTTTTCTGAAAACCTGGATATTATGGATTTTAATTGTACGGTCTTTAAACATTTCTTTCAATGCGGCTCCTAAAACCTCTACTACGTGGTCACGCACCGTTAGCGCTTGACCGTCTGATATGGACCTCCTCGGATAATCCTAGATACCTCACTTTGTGTTATTGAAGAGAAGAGTAATTATGTGGGGACATCATACAGAATGGAACAAGTAATCTTGTGGACATCATACAGAATAGAACATGTAATCTTGTGGACATCATAAAGAGCAGAACAAGTAATCTTGTGGACATCATACAGAATGGAACATGTAATCTTGTGGACATCATACAGAACAGAACAAGTAATCTTGTGGACATCATTCAGAATGGAACAAGTAATCTTGTGGACATCATACAGAATAGAACAAGTAATCTACGCTACAGGGATTCACATTTAAGGTAGTGCATTTTAAGATGATAATTCTGAGGGAATTAATGTTATAAGTTTATAGGAAACCAAAGACATCTATATCCTATGTCGTGTGTGTGGTAATATTTAATTAATAAAAGTTATGCACCATTTAATATAAAAACTTGCATCTTGTTTCACCCACACTTTTTCGGGCCATCATCAGACAGAATGAAAGTAGACGAGACAACTGTATATATTTTTAAAAACTCGTTCCAATAACACGTGACACGTGGTAGTTTTAAATAAACGTTCTACTTAAAGAAACAACACCAATAAACAGATGTGTACAATGGGTAAGGTAAAATATTCAAAATAACTATAAAACAATATACAAAATATAGTTACTAAATACACGTATTCACATCTGCAGGTTTATACAATATAAATTCAGGTACATATGGAGGACTGAAATTCCTAGACCTTCATGTATATTTAAAGAAAACCCTCTGTGTTTAATTATTTCCAGCAATTTTTTTACATTCAGTTCAGTATAATTACTCATGGAACAATTGGATTCGGTATCATCCAATAGGATACGGTGGTTATAGTTACTAATATGTTCTGCTACACGTGATAAAGTATAGTTTTCATTTTTTACAGCAAGTTTGTGTTCATTCAAACGACGTTTTAGTTTACGGTTTGTCTGACCGATACAGACACTGTTGATTGCACACTTTATTTTATAAATTCAGTTTCTGCTAAAGTTCGTACTCGAATAGCTTGGTACGAAATTCAAAAGAAAAATTTTTAATCTTATCTTCCAATAAATCAAGGAGGGAGGAAGATGTCTAGATTGAACCTGACCCTCCCAGGTCGTTTACTACGACCTAAACACCAATTCAGACAATCCTGGTGTTCTAATGAAGGATATACGGTCATAAATGTTAATAAGAGATCTGTAAGTGATTTGGAAGTCTGAATATCGAGTAAAAAAACCTCTATTTGATTTGAAATCTTAGTAAAATACGGTAGGCAAATAACTTTAACATTTATTTATAATTAAAAGCAATACAACGTTAAAATCTTACACAATAAATAATTACTAAAAATAGGGATTGTTGTTTCGATTCCTAAACTTAATACTATCATGTGAATTGTTTAAGTGGTGTAAAAATTATTTTAACTTAATGTCACCAGAACTGGTAAAAAACTTTCAAATCCACCAGGCTTCACAATCCGCACACATTGTGTAAACACCAACTACCCCGTCTTGATTACGGATTTCAAAGTCATCTCATCTGGATCATCCAATATTGAACTTTTAATTAAACAAAGTTTATCTTTTATAAATTAACTCCCAACTTTAAATAATAACACAACTTCACTACAATTAAATCTGTTCTGAATACTTGGATAATATTGTTGCATTATTCTATTGTTTATTGTTTATTTGTTAATTTATTTCCTACTTTTATTCTGTATTTTAATTACTTTTATAGAATGTTTAAACTTTATAAAATGTCTGTACTTAATAATTTACCCTGTTCAATATAGCTTGCTGAAGATGGAAAATGTATATTCCGAAACGTTCAAGAATTAAATGTTTGTCATTGAACATACATGTGACAAATATATTCATATTGAAAACTTCACAATACTCCGGGAAGACTAATTTAGGAGGAAATCAAAAAATTATGAAACATAATACAGTGATCTTTTGTACATATTGTCAAAACCTTTTTCCATTCATATTCCGATTATTATTAAAGATGACTGTGAATTTGTTGAAAAACTGACCCAAAAATTGGAAGAGAATGAATCCTATTTCCTTAGATGTAGTAGCTCTGTATCCAGATATTAAGCATGTTTATAGAATTAACTGTGGAATGTTTTTTTACAAAGATACGAAGAATTAGTTCATCCTAGGTTTAACAAAAGTTTTATCTTAAAAAATTTAGATCTAGTCTTAGAAAATTGTTTTTTATTTGTGAGAAACAAATTTTCCATCAAATTTCTGGTAGAACAGTAAGTACAAAAGTCTCCAACTTATTCCAATATCACTATGGGAGTTTTTGAAATGCTATCATTTAATATGCTAACTATTTATTTTGAAGAAATTATATAGATTACGTAAAAAAAATTAAAATATTTCCAGTCAATTATTTGATGATATAGAAGGATACTGTGGGTAAGTTGGGATTTTAAATTCGATAAATAAGAGAAATTAAGTTGACTTTTGAAGGAAATGAGAATACCTTGTCCTTTCTTAGATATGATGGTAAGTGTTTCACAAAAAAAATTAGATTGTAACTGATATTTTTTACAAACCCACAAAACAAAAATACAAATACTATACTGACCTTAGAAAGTCTTAATTTGTTAAAACAACAAAATCGTATACACTATATTTAATTTCATAATAGTTATTTCTTAATTTTTAAAAACAACAACACTATGCGAAAACATAAAGCTAAGCCACCGATAACTTTATAGGTTGTTTGCTCGAAAACTTCTCAATGGGAGATTTTGGGTTGTGCTTATCGCAGAGACCTAGCTTTGAATTTTAACTTTATAAGCTTTCAAGATCACAGCTAAGGCAACTCGGCTAAGTGTTCTCAGCAAAGTTTGAAGTTTGGTCAACTCTTCAGAAGAGGTGGATATAAAGAACAATATGTACATAGAAAATTCATGGTGCAATTTCATTTTGCTTGAGCTTTTTATAGCTGTTAAATCTTAGGAAAATTCAGGAAATATTTTCTGATAAACAACATTCTTGTACGAAAATCCACTGGCAAATGCTAGCCTGGTTTTTCTGGAAACGCTGTGTCACGTATATGAGTATACAACGAGAACAAAACGTTTTCATTGTGATATTTTATATACATGTATGTTCATTCACATAGCAGGAGGAACACAAAACTTGTATCTTCAAAATAAAAAAAATAAAGTAACGAAATTACTTTACGGACACAGTCCTAATACAACAGGCACTTGCATACAGACACATTATTAATATTATGTAATACAGAGTTTGTTTGTTTCACAATTTTCAGCGAAAAGTACACACATTTTAAACTCTAGAATAGAGGGAAGGCAGTTAAATGGCAGCATCAACTGCCATTTCTTGGGCAACGTTTGTCAGCCCGAATTTTAATTGTCGTTCGAATAGTAGTTTATGTTATTAAAAAGTATCTCACTAACAAGGCCTTAGCTCAATTGGTATACCACTCTCCTAGCAGGTCTCGGGTTCAAACCCAAAGCAACGAAATATGTATTGTAAAAATAAACTATCAAATTGGTGCCCAACTAGTAGCATCCCACGATCCTGATTTTAGGATTAGAAACGAGGACAGGTCGTGTTTTTTATGAGAGGGGAAGAATGTAGTAGTTTGAATTGTTAAAAATAGACTAGTAGGTTAACCTTTGATCTCAGTTGGTGGAATACTCGCCTCGCGTGTGGTAGGTCTTGGGTTCAAATTTTTAGAGATAAAATAAAATTTCGTGATAAAATGAAATTACCCCCAATCTTATAGTCCATCCACGACTTCAAAGTGCCGAACGCGTACCATGAACCCTTGAATTCGCTGTCTGAGTAAGCTAATCACTAAACTGCGGCTCATAGTAAGTGTTTACGTCTTTTGCTAAAGCAAAATAAACCTAACTTACCTGTATCAAAAGTAGAGAGCAACAAAGACGCAACTAGATTCACTAGGAAAAGTTGATCAAATAAAAAAGTACTCTGCTGACAAGAGTAAACTGACGTATGATGAGGTAAGTCTGGAACAAGATAATCTGCCCTTTGCACTTTAGTCAATCAACCTAAAGATAAGGAAAATAAAATATGAAACCAATTCATCTGTGTGTGCACTGAACTGTTAGTGGGCGGATCCATATCTAGAACATGTGTACTTGACAATCTTTTGAAGGGAATAAAAAAGATTGGTTTGTTTTGAATTTCGCACAAAGCTACACGAGGGCCATCTGCGTTAGCCGTCTCTAATTTAGCAGTGATAGACTAGAGGGAAGGTAGGTAGTCGACATCACCCACCGCCAACTCTTGGACTACTCGTTTAGCAACGGATAGCCGGATTGACCGTCACATTATAACGCCCCCATGGATGAAAAGGCGAGCATGTTTGGTGACGGGGATTCGAACCCGCGACCCTTAGCTTGCGAGTCATGCGCTCTAACCACCAAACCATACTAGGCAAGAGAATTGGAAATGCCTAGCGAGGAAATTTTTAGAATAAAATAGGGAGAAATAATGCAGTTTCCTGCATTATAAGCCACAGAATAACTGTAGACAAATGTCAGTTGCTCCCCCATTGATTATGCGCTTTCATATGTTCTTTATATTATTGAAGACGGTTATTTCTAATATTTAAAGAAAAAATATTGGCTGATATTTTATGAAGCGATATTCTACAGGCCCTGAAATCGGGAACTTTAGAAAGTACGTTACTCTCAATAAAAAGGTCAGTTTATGTCCCAAAACAAAGGCTGAAATTTATATAAAAATATAAGAAATCCAAGAATCTTTTTAAATGATCCCTATGTTAACTGTCACTGTGCAAAGGAATTCAGATCAAAATCATTGTTCTACACCATCAAATAAAGTTTTTGTTTTTGTTGTAATGATAAAAACAATACCTTTCTTTCACACGGCATATTAAAAAGACACCCAGAACGTATTTTTACAATGATCGAACTTGTAGCTTCCCATTTCACGAGTCTTAGCTATGTAACTATGGCAGACAGTTGAAAAAGTTTGAAAGATTATGTGAAATTGTTTGATTGTTTGTTTTTGAATTTTGCACAAAGGTTGTTTGGTTGTTATTATACAAAAAGCTACACACAATGGGCTATCTGTGGTCTGCCCACATTAGGTATTGAAACCCGAATTTTAGCGTCGTAAGCCTGCTGAATGACCGTTGAGTCACTGGAGGAGACAATACGAAGGCTATATACGCATAGCTGTTCCTAATTTTCAACTGGCAAATTAAAGGAAAGCAGCTGGTCAACAGCGCCCACCGTCAACTTTTGGGCTTCTATTATATGCCCGAAGAGCGAAATTTGACTATCACTCTTACAGAGCACCCACGTGCGGAGCACATTTTAGAGGTTACAAAACGAAAACCGTGAACTCCCGGATTAACAGTCCGATTACACCAACTACTGGACCATGTCGGGACAATTGTGTTACAATAACTTATTACGTGGTGTAAAAGCCAATTAAATGTGCATGTTTTATTGGAAACGGCTTCAGTACAAAAATGGCATTGAAACAACGAGCTAACACGAGTTAGCACACAGTTTCTACTCAAGGAACTCTAGATTCAGTTTAATTTTTCAATTTATATTTAAATAATAATTGATGAGTAAAATAGATATCGATAGAGGTAGATACAAAATTTCTAAATTTGTATTAAGGTCCAATTTAAAGTCTAGCTACGATCTTTTTACCATCTCCCAAAGGATCAGCGGCAACTTTATTTGTTTGGTGTTAAGCACAAAGCTACACAATAGGTTATCTGTGCTATGCTTGCCACGGGTTTCGAAACCCGATTTTGAGAGTTAGAAACCTCCAGACTAACTGCTAAGACACTGGGGGAGGGGGAGGGCAACGGTAACTTTAACACCTTATACCATAAAATCCGGGGTTCGATTCCCCACGATGCCAAGTGTGCAGATAGTCCATTGTATAGCTTTATATTAAGTATTTCTGTCTTATGTCGTTCTGTAAGCCTGAAGTCCAGAACGAGCAAAATATCGAAAATACTCATTTATTTAAATACTCGTGATAAATAAATCCGAAATCTAGTAACATTTCTAATAAGGTATCTATTGTCAGATAAATCAATTTTATTTTTTATCCAATTTATATTAAATAATCTCTTTATTTTATTTTTTTTTGTATTCAAATTATGGAAGTCCAACATCTAATTTAGTATATTAAAGTAAAAGGCAAAAACAACGTTTTCTGGGATAATGAAAGGTAAGATTTCTAGATCCTCTATTACGAAACAAGAAGTTTATACAAAAACAACTTTTGTATATGTGTGTGTGTGTGTGTGTGTGTTTCTTCCACAAACAAAAGTTGGACTAAAAAAAAACACTCGTAAGTGTCGATATGGATTGCCTTATAATTTGTTGTTACGAAATAGTAGACCTAATCTTTATTTTTGATTACTTTACACGGAATTGTGTATTTACCTACTACTACAGATATAAAATCTTTATCAGTTGTTTCAGCCGACTAGTTTCAATAATAGAAATACCATCACCAGGACTTGTGAATGTATTGTTAGGTCAACCTAATAAAAACGTGAAAGATGAAAACGATAGATAAAACGAAAAACTTCTTATTTACATAAGTTTCGAACGTTTCGGAATACATTTATTCCATTTTTACCCAATTTTAGCGAAATCTGCATGTAATATTATAATTAATTTACTTAAAATATTAAGAGTTAAACTTAAACCAAAGGAAGTACAGATTATTAAATAAGTGACCTCGTTTACACTTTTAGTTTTATTTCTTGGAGTTTAATATAGGCCTAAGCTAACACTGTATTCACAAGCCCTGTTGCTTCTTACTGTACTATCGAAAATAGGAAGCCGAAACAACAAAAAATTTATTTTTCCTTG